TGAACTCTCTCATGAGAGTGTGGGCATATCTTGACTAGAGAATGACTGGTGTCCCATATGGGTTCTAATTTTCCTTAGAATGCAATGGTCTCACATAAAATTCTGGAAATTAGCTGAAAATATCTTCCATATGTCTTGCTCATCCTCTAATAGGCTAGGCTGTTTCACAAGGTGGGATGATGGGCAAAGAGCAAGGCTTGCCTGCAGGCATTTATCAAGAGCCTGGTTGTGTCACATTTACCCCACACTGACTTGCCAAAGTGTGTCAAAGGCCAACCTATATTCAAGGTGCAAAGGAAAAGGCGATCTCTTGATTGGAACCACACATCCCATTACAAGGAAAGGAAGAACTTACAGACATTTTTCTAGTCCAGTACTTCCCGGGATCAAGAGCAACTGAGATGTGAGAAACCGGAGACAGGGAGTAAAGGTGATTATTTAGAGGCGTATCCCTCAACAGGAAGAGAGCAATGACTTAAGAAATGTGCAAGAAAGGCAGTACATTTGCATGTGGAGGGAAACATTTTTTTATAATGCATGAGGGAAAGGAATAACAGAAGAGAGGGTCTTAGCAAGAAGGAGAGTTCCAGATTTATTGCACAAGTGGATGGATTAGCTATAATTAGAAACATAGACAATTCATTCACAGTACCAGAGGAGAAGGGTGCTTTTCTCAGCAAGGATATAAAAAAGGTATGATGTAGTGGTGGGATTATTTTGAAGGAGTCTTTTCACTGATTTCTTTTCTAAATGAAACATGAAGTTCACTAATGGTTGAATGAATAAATAAAATAAAGTTATATAGATATAGATAGATGATAGATAAAAGATAGGTGATAGATAGATAGATATGATCAATGGAATTCATTGAATACAATGGAATATTATTCAGCCATTAAAAATAGAATTCTTGCGTCTGTGAAAACCTGGATGAACCTTGAGGACATGATGCCACATAAAATAAGTCAGAGCGTGAAAAACAAGCCCTGTATGATCTCGTCTATATGTGCAATCAAAAAATTTGAAACTTATCCCACTGAATTTATAGATAAAAAGAACAGACTGGTGTTTGCCTGAGGTGAGGTTCAGGAGATTGGAGAAATAGCTGACATGGTAAAAAGGTACAAAGTTCCTGTTATAAAAGAAATAAATTATGGAGCTATAATTTGCAGTGTTATGGCTATAGTTAGTAATGGCTATAGTTAATATGGCTATAGTTATAGTAATAGTTATGGCTATAGTTAGTATAGTTAGTATAGTGTGTATATTTGAAAGCTGCTAAAAGAGTAGATCTTAAATGTTGTCATAACAAGGAAGAAAATTTATAACTATGTGTGGTGATGGATGTTAACCAGAATTATTGTGGTGATCATTTTGTGATATATACAAATATAAAATTTTATGTAGTACACCCAACACTGTCATACTACTACACATCAAATATATATCGATAAAAATATGCAACATGGCATCAAAACGACACTGGCAGACCATATGTTGGTGTTTTGAGAATAGAGAAAATGTTATTAAATAGTGATCAAGGGAAGTGAGAAAGTGAATACAGTAGAAATGCTATCAAATTTTTCTATGTGTTCTGGGAAGAGAAAGAAGCCCACCGGACTTAGTATTGAGGAATTTGGTATAACTTCACGTACACTGTTTTATGTTTTTCTCCATCCATGTTTATCTGACCAGGATGCCATGGATGAGGAAAAATGCTAGATTTAATGCAAGTTGTCTTTCATGTGATGAGGAGTGTGAAGTGGGGAAAAAAAGGATGGAATCACATATATTTTCAGGAAGTGATTATAATGCTGGCTTGTGGAAGTTTAGGTAAGGAGAAGTTGTGACAAAGTTATGGAGAGTCAAGATTTTCAGACCCTGATGATAACAAAGTAATATTAAAGTCAAAGATTAGATAGACTAAGTGGAAATAGCTGGTAATAGGACAATGTGAGGCTTGAAAATGACATAATAAGTTTACTATATTGGTAATGACAACAGCTAGTGTGTAAGCAGAAGAGAGAGGAGGGGGTCGCAGGTGAGCCAGGAGTGTTGGAAGAGAGGAGATCACAAATGTCAGAGACTGAGGCTATCATGCTAACCCATTGGCGTGGATCTACAATCACTAAGACATAAAATGGGTTGAGTTGGGAAGTATCATACTAAGTCAGGAGGCATGGAGGTGGGTGACTTGAGTCAGCAGATTATTTCTACAGGCACTGTGATGGATATAGACTGATAGCAAATGTTTCAAAGCTGGAGGGATGGAAAATTATCTGCAAATGCTAGTGATCAAAGAGAATGTTGTCACATACAAACCTGGTAAAAAGGAGTGGAGGGGAGACAAAGATTCCACTACCTGAGAGTCTCAACTGAAGCAGTGGCTTCAGGGTAGAATGAAGAAATGAAGTGAATTTTCAGGATGCAATGAATTGACCCATGTACTGAAATATATTTACTGTGTACATTGGTAGGATATTGGAGTTGGGGAAACATGAGCAGTAGGGTCAGAAAAAGGCATTTACATAGCCTGATGGTAGGATGTGACGCTGGGGATGGAGTCTTCTTCTGATGAATGACAACAAAAATGATGAATGTCGGGGTGCCTGGGTGGCTCAGTCAGTTGAGCGACCCACTTCAGCTCAGGTCATGATCTCACGGTTAGTGAGTTTGGGCCCACATCGGGCTCTGTGCTGACAGCTCAGAGCCTGGAGCCTGCTTCAGATTTTGTGGCTCCCTCTCTTTCTGCCCCTCCCCCACTCGCGCTCTGTCTCTCTCTGCCTCTCAAAAATAAGGAAAACTAATAAAAAATAAAAAATAATAATAAAAAATGACGAATGCCAACTATAGTAGCAACATAATAGTTGACAATAAAATACATTAAAATTTTCTGTTGTTCATGACAATAGATTGAAATGCATTCAAAATATAGAAATGAAGTTCAGAACATATACATAGAACATAAAATCGTATAAATATTGTTTTTAATGCATAAATATTTTCCCTTGGGAAATTCAAGTTATTTTTGAGAAGTTTTTTTATAAATAAGCATGTTTGTCTTAACCCTAATGTTTCTGTGAAGTGGCTTTAACAATTCCTGACATTTACCTCCGAAACTGATTATTAATTTCCTCAATATTGTTACAGAGCATTCACACAATCTTCTGCTCAGAGTGATCATACATCATGGAATCTTCTTAGAGTTCTATTATTTCCATTAGGCTTAAAAATCATTTCAGTGCCCTCTTGAGTTGTGGAGGAGACGATACATAGTATAAGAGCCAATTATTATAATGATTTCAAATGAGATTATTTTAGGAATGTTCTTTCTGTCTCAAACTGGAATTGGTTTTATTGGAAATACATTGCTAGTGGTGTTACTCATCAACACGTTCTTGCCCAGCCCCATACAAAGAAACCTATAAACTTGATATTTACCCATTTAACTTTATCTAATGTCATGACAATTCTTTTCAGTGCAATCCCAGAAATAATGAATGCCTTTGGAGTAAGAAATTTCTGGATGACATTGGTTGCAAGGCAGTGCTGTACCTATACAGAGTCACCTGGGGTCTTTCCCTCTGCACCACATCTTCCCTGAGTATTTTTCAAGCCATAATTATCATTCCCAGCAACTCTAGGTGGGCGGGGCTCAACCCAAAATCTCCTCATACATTTTTCCTGTCTTCTTTTCTTTCTGGATCACCAACATGTTAATCTACATCCATGTCATCATAAATGCTGTGGCCCCGTACAACACTACTGGAATCGGACAAGTGTTTTCTCTGACATACTGTAGTGGAAAAAAGTCTGATCTCCTTCCACAGACTGCTTTTCTAGGGGGCAAGGTCTTATGAGATTTCCTGTGTATGTTCCTTATGATCTACTCAAATGTGTAGCGGTAAAGTTCCTCTTCACACATCACAAGGTAATCCAGCATCTCCACAAGACCAGCCTCTGCCCAAGACCCTCTCCTGAAACCAAGGCCACCCACACAATCCTGGCACTGGTGAGCTGCTTTGTTTTCTTTTACTGGACTATCAGCTGCCTTACTATTTACATAGTGTACAGCTATAATGCACAAGGATTACAGAACATCATTATTTTTCTCTCCTGTTGTTTGCCAGCGATTTTTCCATTTGTGTTGCTCAAAAGTAATAACAGATGATCATTTCTGAACTGTGCTTTTGTAAATATGAGACAGTTCTCTCAGAGTCTCGAACACCCTCACACACTTCTCAGATACAAAGGGGCATGTGATTAGATGTTCCCACTCCACAATTTTAGTGAGGTAAAATTCTGAGAATGCATTAATAATTTTTACTTTGGGAATTTCTTCAAATCATCGAAGTGAACAGAGAAAATAAATGATTAGATACATGTAATGAAATGTTTGGAACTGTTGCACCTAGCCAGAGCACTCTTTGTCCTTTCCTAAAATTATTGTCAAAAATTCATACCTATGATTACTTGGATACCCTTATTTCTAAGAGTTCCTCCACAATGAGACATATCTATCAGTTAAAGTACAGTAGCTACAATTGCTGGATTATGCTGGACTGCCTTCACTAGACAAAAAATTTTATATCTGCACTGTTGTATATTTTGGATCCAAACAATGCTTGAATTTACCATATGCTGCTGATTATGTCTAGTTTAATCATGGACTGTGATATATAAGTGTACATAACCAAGCTCCCTTCACTCTGTGAATACTGATCACCATTCTCCAGAGCACAAAAGTATTGCCCATTCTCAAATACTTCGTAAGACCCCATGTTACCTTGTGTGTGCACAATTTTGTATCTATTTACATCACTAGAAGTATTTCTTGAATTCTTACACATTCTATTTTGTATAAGCATATTGTTGTGTCAATAGCTAATATTTTTATGTGGGCAGTGTTGTACTTTTATCAAAGTACTTAGCAATTCTTATATATCACAGAATGATAAATATAAAATTAATTTTTTCTTGAAAACAGTCAAAATTCTCAGTAAAATTCTTATAAACAATTTTTAATAACTGCCTCAAATAAAGTTAATCTGATGAAAAAGTAGTAAGCTTCATGCTAAAAGTGCAGCTGCTCTCAGCACATTTGTGACTCTTACAGCACAGACCTCTGTGCTTCAAAGCTCCTTGGGAAAGAGAAAACTGGGGGTTAGAGCCAGAATACAAAGATTTACTAATTATGTAACACAATTCAACTACATTCTTTTTACAATAGAAATAACTAATGCATGAAGACACTCAAAGATTGAAATTAAAAGGGAAAAAAAACTACAGTAGGCTAATTGACATAAAGCTAAATTAAACATATAAAATATGAGACAAAATTATGTGGTTATGATGGAGGTAACTATAATAATGATAAAGGGATAAATTAACTCGGGAGAAATATCTGCCCTAAAATTGAATACAGTTAGAATAATAACTCCATAAAAATTTAGTTCTTTTAGACTCTGAACTTAGGTGACCATCAATTTAATATAGACTGCTATACAAATAAGGTGTTATACATAAACCTAGTGGTAATGATGAATCAAAAGCCCGTGTTAGATACAGAAACAATAAAGAGAAAGAAAGCCAAGCTTAACATAAGAAAAGCCAATAAACCACAAAAGAAGAGAGAAAGAGAAGAAGAGAGCAGAGCAGAGCTACCAAACAACCAGAAAACAATGAACAAAATGACAATAAGTACATGTCTATCAATACTTACCTTAAATGTAAATGAGCTAGCTGTTCCATCAAAGATACAAGGTGACTAAATGAATTTTTTAAAACACCCATCGATGTGTTGCCTATAAGAGACTCATTTTGGACCTAAAGAACCATCAAGGTCGAAAATGAGGAGCTGGAAAAACATATTCCATTCAAATGGAAGTTAAAAAAAAAAGAATAAGGCAGGTTAGCAATATTTTTATCAGACAAAATAGACTTTAAAACAAAGACTATAGCAAGAGACAAAGAAGGACACTCCATAGTGATGAAGGCATCAATACAACAAGAGTTTATAACAATTGTAAATATCTATGCACCCAACAGAGAAGAACCTAAATACACAATGCAACATTTAAAGACTTATAGGGAAAAATTGACAGTAATAAATAATAATAGAAGACTTCAACACCCCACTTATATCTACAGATAGATCCTCCAGGCAGAAAGTCAACAAGGAAACGGTGGTTATAAATGGAACACCAGACCAGATGGACATAGCAGAGATATGCAGAACATTTCATTCAAAAACAACAGAATGCACATTCTTTTCAAGTGTACAAAAAACATTTTCCAGAGTAGATCACATATTAGGCCACAAAAGCAGTGGCCCTATAAACTTAAGAAGATTAAAATCATGTTGAGACCTTTTCTGATGATAATAGTATAAAATGAGACATAGACTACAAGAAAAAAACTGGGGGAAAAAAAGATGTGAAGATATGCAACATGCTACTACACAATAACTGGATCAACAAAGAAATCAAAGAGAAACCAAAAAATATGTGGAGACAAATGAAAATGAAAACTCAGTGATCAAAAATCCTTGCAAAAGCAGTTCTAAAAGGGAAGTTTATAGCAATACAGGCCTTCTCTAGAAACAAGAAAAATCTCAAATAAACAACCTAACTTTACACCTAAAGGAAGTAGAAAACAAAGAACAAATAGTGCCCAAATCTAGTAGAAAGTGGAAATAATAAAGATTCAAACAGAAATAAATGAAATAGGGACTGAAATAGAAATAGAAAATTTCAATAAAACCAAGAGCTGATTCTTTCAAAATACAACAAAATTGACAAATCTCAAGGCAGACTCATCAATAAAAAAAGACAGAGGAGTCAAATAAATAAAATCAGAAATGAGGCAGGAAAAATAACTGACACACAGAAACACAAAGGATTGTAAGAAAATATTATATGTCAACAAACTTTTCAATCTAGAAAGAATGGATAAATGTAAACACACACACACACACATTTCCAATATGAACCAAGAAGAAATAGAAATTTTCAACAGACTGATTATTACTCATGAAATTGAATTAATAATAAAAACAACTTTTAACAACCAAAAGTCTGGATCTATACTCTGAAAACTATAATATGTTGAAAGAAATTGAACATGACATAGTCAAATGGAAAGATATACCATGCTACATAAATTGCACATATGAGTGAAATCATATGGTATTTGTCTTTCACTGACTTGCTTCACTTAGCATAATACTCTCTAGCTCAATCCACTCATTGCAAATGGCAAGATTTCATTATGGCTGGTAATATTCCATTGTATATATACAATATTCCATTGTGTATATATATTCCATTTTATGGCTGGTAATATTCCATTGTGTATATATAACCACATCTTCTTTATGCATTTATCAGTTGATGAACACTTGAGCTGTTTCCAACACTGAGCTATTTTCGATAATGCTACAATTAAAATAAATACAGAGAGAGGCAAACCAAGAAACAGACTCTTAACTATAGAGAACAAACTGATGGTTACCAGAGGGGAGGTGGGTGTTGGGATTGGGCGAAATAGTGTATAGGGATTAAGGAGTACACTTGTGATGAGCACTGGGTGATGCAGGAAGTGTTTCAGTAAACCTGACAGTAATATCACACTGTATGTTAACTGGAATTTAAATAAAAAGTTTTTAAAAAGAGTTGATTAGTACATACAGTCCAAGAGATTCCAGGGGCACATATGCACAGTGAGACAATTATCTGAAGAAGCAGCAAGAGGGTGATCATCTTCAAGTCAAAGAGATAGGTCTCAAAAGAAATCAACCCTATAGGTACCTTGCTCTTGGACCTTCAACCTCCAGAAATGTGAGAACATAAGTGTATTTTTCAAAAAAAATTATACACACACACACACCATGCTAATAGATTGGAAGAATTAACATGTTTTTTAAATTTATTTTATGTTTTATTTATTTTTAAGACAGAGAGAGACAGAGCATTAGTGGGGATGGAGAAGAGAGGGAGACACAGAATCAGAAGCAGGCTCCAGGCTCTGAGCTGCGAGCACAGAGCCCGACGCGGGGCTCGAACTCACGAGCTGTGAGATCATGACCCGAGCCGAAGCAGGACGCTCAGTCAACTGACCACCCAGGCGCCCAGAAGAATTAATATGGTTAAAATGTCCATACTGGGACACCTAGGTGGTTCAGTCAGTTGAGCTTCCAACTCTTGGTCTCAGCTCAGGTCATGATCTCACAGTTGGAGGGATCAAGCCCAGAATCAGTCTTCATGCTGAACATGGAGCCTGCCTGGGATTCTTTTCCTCTCTCCCTCTGCTCCTCTGACCCACTCATTCATTCATTGATTCATTCTATCTCTCAAAATAAATAAATAAACTTTGAAAATTAAATAAATAAAATGACGATACTACTCAAAGCAATCTATACAGTCAATGCAATCTTTGTCGAAATTCTAATAGCGCTTTTCATGGAACTAGAACAAGTAATACTAAAATTTTATCAAAACCACAAAACACCTTGAATAACTAAAGAAATATTGAGAAAGAACTAAGCTGGGCAGCACACAATTCTAGATTTTAAGACATACTACAAAGTTACAGTAATTAAAGCAGCATGCTACTGGCAGAAAAATAGAGAGATGAATGGAACAGAATAGAGTGCCCAGAAATAAGCCTGAACCATATGGTCAATTAAGGAGGCAAGACTGATGAGGAAAAGATAATCCTTCCAATAAATGGTTTTGGAAAAACTAGACAGCTGCATGTAAAATAATGAAATTGGAGCACTTTCTCAAGCCATACACAAAACTAATGGATTAAAGCCTAAATGTGATATGTGAAACCACAAAATTCCTGCAGACATCAGCCTTAACAACATATTTATGGATATGTCTTTTCAGGAAAGAGAAAGAAAAGTAAAAATGAACTATTGGGCTTACATCAACATAAAAGCTTTTGCACAGTGAAGGCAACCATCATCAAAACATAAAGGCAACCTTCTGGATGGGAGAAGGTACTTGCAAATGAAATATCAGATAAGGGGTTAATATCCAAAATATACAAAAAACTTATGCAACTTACCACAAAAACATAAATCTTATTTAAAAGTGGGCAAGAGACAGCAATAGCACTGCTAGGAATTTACCCAAGGGATACAGGAGTACTGATGCATAGGGGCACTTGTACCCCAATGTCTACAGCAGCACTTTCAACAATAGCCAAATTGTGGAAACAGCCTAAATGTCCATCAACTGATGAATGGATAAAGAAATTGTGGTTTATATACACAATGGAGTACTACGTGACAATGAGAAAGAATGAAATATGGCCCTTTGTAGCAACGTGGATGGAACTGAAGAGTGTGATGCTAAGTGAAATAAGCCATACAGAGAAAGACAGATACCATATGTTTTCACTCTTATGTGGATCCTGAGAAACTTAACAGAAACCCATGGGGGAGGGGAAGGAAAAAAAAAGAGGTTAGAGTGGGAGAGAGCCAAAGCATAAGAGACTCTTAAAAACTGAGAACAAACTGAGGGTTGATGGGGGGTGGGAGGAAGGAGAGGGTAGGTGATGGGCATTGAAGAGGGCATCTTTTGGGACGAGCACTGGGTGTTGTATGGAAACCAATTTGACAATAAATTTCATATATTAAAAAAAAAGAATAGTTAATGCATGTTCTCAAACTATTCCAAAAAAAAAAAAAAGAAAAAGAAATGGAAGAAAAACTTCCAGATTCAATCTACGAGATCAGCATTACCCTAATACTAAAACCAGATAAAGACACTAAAAAAAAAAAAAAAAGAGAACTACAGGCCAATATCCCTAATGAACATGGATGCAAAAATTCACAAAATACTAGCAAATTCAATCCAACAGTACATTAAAAGAATCATTTAAGATGATCAATGGGTTGCAAGGTTGTTCAATATTCGCAAATCAATCAACATGATACATCAAATCAATAAGATAAAGGATAAGAACCATATTACCATTTTAATACATGCAGAAAAAGCATTTGACAAAGTCCAACATCCATTCATCATAAAAATCCTTAATAAAGTAGGGTTAGAGGGAACACACCTCAAGATCATAAAGGCCATTTATGAAAAACCACAGGTAACATCATCCTCAATGGGGAAAAACTCAGAACTTTTCCTCTGTGGTCAGGAACACTGTCACCACTGTTATCAAACATAGTATTGGAAATCCTAGCCACAGCAATGAGACAAAAAAAAAGAAATAAAAGGCATCCAAGTCAGTAAGGAAGAAGTAAAACTTTCACTATTTGCATATGATATGATATTCTATGTAGAAAACCTGAAAGCCTCCACAAAAAACTGCTAGAACTGGTAAGTGATTTCAGGTAAAATAACAAGATATAAAACCAACGTACAGATGCATTTCTGTTGCATTTCTATACACCAATAATGAAACAGAAGAAAGAAAAAATTAAGGAATCAACCCCCATTTACAATTGCACCAAAACCATAAGATTCCTAGTAATAAACCTAACCAAATAGGTGGAAGATCTGTACTCTGAAAACTATAGAACACTGATTTTTTTTTTAGTGTTTATTTATCTTTGAGAGAGAGAGACAGAGTGCAAGAGGGGGAAGGGCAGAGAGAGGGGAGGACACAGAATCCAAAGCAGGCTCCTGGCTCTGAGCTGTCAGCACAGAGCCCAATGCGGGCCTCAAACTCATGGACCACAAGGTCATGACCTGAGCTGAAGTCAGACGCTTAACCGACTGAGCCACCCAGGCACCCCTAGAACACTGACTCTTAACTATAAAGAACAAACTGATGATTACCAGAGGGGAGGCAGGTAGGAGGATAGGTTAAACAGTTTATGGGAATTAAGGAGTGCACTTGTGATGAGCACATGGTGTTGTATGGAAGTGTTGAATCACTATATTTACACCTGAAACTAATATTACACTGAATATTAACTAACTGGAATTAAAATAAAAACTTAATTTAAAAACACAACTACTTATAGCAATAATTACTAAAATGTTGTAATAGGAATATGCTAAAGACAAAAAAAATAAAAATTAAAAAAATAAATTGTTATTGCCTTTTGGCCAGACCACCATCTTCCAATAATTCGCCAAAATGACCAACACAAAGGGAAAGAGGGGAGGCACCCACTATATTCTCTAGGCCTTTTAGAAAAAGGAGTTGGAGTTGTTCCTTTGTCCACATATATGTGAATCTACAAGAAAAGTGATATTGTAGACACAAGGGAATGGGCACTGTTCAAAAAGGAGTGTCTCACAAATGTTAACATGGCAAAACTAGAAGAGTCTACAGTGTCACCCAGATGCTGTTGGCATTGATGTAAACAAACAAGTTAAGGGCAAGATTCTTGCCAAGAAAATTAATGTACATATTGAGCATATTAAACACTCAAAGAGCTGAGATAGCTACCCGAAATATGTGAAGGAAAATGATCAGAAATCGGAAAAAGCCAAAGAGAAAGGTACTTGCTTTCAACTGAAAGGCAAGCCTACTCCATCCAGAGAAGAATACTTTGTGAAAACTAAAGGAGGCTGAGCTGCTGGAACCCACTTCCTATGAATTCATGACATGGTAAGTGTTAAAAAAAATACCTCAAGACTATTAAAAAAACGTGAAACATTGGAATTATCATTTTATAGATTAAGGCAATGAAGCATAGAGGTCTCTTACCTTTCCTTAAAGGGATCTGCAATTACTTACCAGTGACTCTGCATTAGAGAAGGGAAAATATGCAAATTTGAAGGGCCAGTCTGGGAACTTCTAGAAGTCATGTGATAAATAGAGTTTGGGCCAAATCCATGTCAAAGTTGGTCTAGTGCATGCATAGATTAATTCTGTGTTTATTTCTCCTGGTCTTGAATACATAGTTGGAGGAAATATTCTTTCACATAAATGCAAATGGAAGGAGAGCTAATTTGGCAAGAAAACCAAGTTGAAGCCCCTAGAAGTATTTCTCTATAGTAAAATCATAGAGAAAACCAATATTGCAACTCTGGTAAAAATTGCAGGGATTACAACCATCATTAAGTATAGGAGAGGGATCATCACTGTCCTGTTTCCATTTAACTTGCTTGTTTACCTAATGCCAAGGCCACTGGGTCTTGTGGAACAAATATAGATTACCTAAAGTTAATCAGGAAGTTACAAAAATTGTAGCTTCTGTGGTATATTTGGCATCTTTGCTAGAGCAAATCAACACAGCTCCTTGTGTGGAAAATAAGAATTTCTCCATATAAATCAGCAAGGATTGTCAAAAACAGTACAATTTCACTTGAAATGGACAGCAGTATATTTTTATCATGTTTTCTCAGAGGTATCTCAACTCTTCTGTCTTCTGTCAAAATATAGTCCATAGAAACCATGATCAAATAAAACCTTACAGTACATTGTGCTGTCCACTAGACATCAGGCCAGATGGATCTGATATGCATTGAATTGTGAGTATCTTATGCCTTCATAAAATACATGCATGACAACAGGTAGGAGATAGGACCCATGAGCCTATCATTTCAAGGAAGAAATGCAGCATTCATTCATGTAGAGCATGAATAGATATCCCCTAAATCTCCTTTAAAGTGAAAAAAAAAAAAAGGTGCTACACTTGAACAGTTACCTGTAAGAAAGAGTCACAGCAGTGGCTGAGCCACTTTGGATTTGGAATGCAAGATATGCCATATTTGGTTATGTTGCTCCAGGCTTCCCCCCCCCCCCCCATTAGTCCACATGACTGTCTACGCTGTATGGCAAATACAGGCTACAGTAAAAGCCAGTCTTCCACGTGGGTTTTAAGGACTAATAGATCCAACTCCAATGTTTCATAAGTTAGGGCAAATAGGGATTCTGGGTAGATCCTCTGAAAAAGCCCAATAGGTAAATAACACAAAAAGTCTTAGGGTTTTAGTGCAAAGTCATATCCTCTTCTGACATTTTCTTTTCAAGAAACAAATCCCAGATTGTTAATGGGCCCTGAGGAAGGTATATATAGAGAAGCTTCTAAGAAGAGGCACAGGAGGTGAGAATATTTCTGAGTATGTGGGTGGCTATCAGTCAGCCTCTTTCTTCAGCCACTCCAATAGTTTCTCAGTGGGCCTGTGTATCAATTGGCAGGGGGGCTGGGAATGGAAGCTATGCACAGGCTCAGTGGCATAGATTTTTCCTTACTATGTTGATCTGCCTACCACTAGATGTGAGGGCATTCACTGCAAAACCTAAAGTTTTACATGGAGCCCTAACTATCTGTCATTTCCTGAATCCTCAAGCTATCTTTCTAAGGGCAGGTTTATTCCAACATAAAAATTTTCATCACTGTAACAGGATATATTCTACATATGGATTTGCCTTCCTTCTCTGCTATGCTTCTGCATCATTATCTGTGGACTTAAGGAATGCCTCATTCATCATCATGGTATTCCACATAGCACCCTTCCAAGCTCATTTCAACATAACAAAAATGTAACAATGACTTCATGTCCATAAAAGGTATTGTTCTTTCCGTGTACCACAATATCTAGAAGTAAGTACCCTGATAGACAATTTGGATGGCCTACTGAAAAAAATGTTATCTCATCAGCTTTGATGTAATATCCTATGGATATATATATATATATCATGTATTATATGCTTTGTATATCTAGTATACTTTTTCCCCAAAGACAGAATACATGGGTCTGGGAATCAAGGAGCAGAAATGAGTGTGAATACTTTCATCACCTAATATCCCACTTAAGTTTTTCTTTCCATCCCCACAACCTTAAACTGTGCTGCTCTTGAGGGCTTAGTTCTCAAAAGATAAGTGTGTTAACAAGAGGACACAATGGTTATGACTTCACCTGGTGTGGTGGGCCCTCATGCCATGACTCCATTGAACTGACAATTAGTTAAGAGTATTGGTTTTTTATATGGGTTGCATGTATGCAACCCATGTATAGGATGTGTTGCATCCTATACAATGAGGATAAGAAACACTATGTTTAGAACCCATGGAATTCTCTGGGTAAGTCTTAGTACTGCCATGTTTGATAGCGTCATTCAAAAACTATGACAGTCCAACAAAGGCTCATAGCTTCCAGAAACAAAAGGTTGGTAGACCAAGTAGTGTTTGAAAGCAAAAATAACATGAACTGGATCATAAAATCATGTGATTGAAATCAATACCAGCAGTGGTCTCATGACTCATTACAGGAATGAAGACTGTGGCTGTTATGGATATTTTTATGTCTATATTAGCCAATTATATATATTTATATATTAGCCAATTATATTATATAGACCATCAACCCTGAGAAGTTACTCAGATGAGATGAAAAGTACAGTGGACAGTCCTGAAATAATGGGCTTGAGATGGACACAAAACTTGCAGGACATGTGGCCCCCTTGCTGGAGAGAGGTGGGGAGTTGCCTATGAAGGTAAGGGCCTGAATTTTCTATGAGAGGAAATATTCATAGAAGGTAAGAATGGATGCAGAATGTAATAAAGATTAATGGTAACAACCCTAAGCGTATTGGTCTCCAGATACAGTTATTGCCCTTCCTTGATCTATTTAGTTTGTGGTGGGGTAGAGTGGGAATGGGATGAGGTGCTAATGAACCTACAGGCTGTATTTCCTTGGTTCCCATATCCATAGAATATCTGGGGAGAGAATAAAGGGATAAGGTGAGCTAGTACCCCCTCCAAGTCCACTTCAGGTGGCACCTCAGGCAGTAGTAGAGGAAGGCTGCTCCTGTTCCTGCAAGAGTGGCCTGCCATGTTGGTTGCAGTTTCTTCCAGATGACCCTACCCTTTGGGTTCTTCTAATACCAACTCTCCTTCTATCTTAAGTCTAGGGATGTTAGCAACTTCATACTGTTACTAATCTCAGGGTTTCCTCAGTATCTCCTGTTGGGATTTGCAGTTCTTTTATCACTTGTGTCACCAATGCTCTGCATTAAATGGCCTCCATTGTAAATATTTAAAGTTGTTTCTATTTTCCTAGTTAGACCCTTTCTGACACCGAGTGATCACTGAATTCATAAAAACTCAAATGATATCAATTTACCTACTGTCATGAATATGTGGCTTTCATAAGTGTTATGTCTTTGATCAGAACATCCATAATATTTATTTCTCTAATTTAGGGCTTCTCAACCTCAGCGCTGTTGACATTTGGGACTGGATAGTTCTTTGTTGTAGAAGACTATCCTGTGCATTGTACAATATTTAGCAGCATCCCTGGTCTACTTACGAGATGCCAGTAATACCTCCCTCCTATGTTGTGACCACCAAAAATGTCTCTAGACATTGCAAGCATCCCCTGCAAGGGTGGGAGTGGGGCAAAACTGTCTCTTGTTGAGAACCACTTCTCTAATTGAAAAGCTGTTAAAAACACTACAGTTTTTTTTTCTCCCTTTGAAGTAATGATTTTTATTTGGACTAATCCCTGCCTATTGTGATTTAGTGTGGTTATTACAGTGGAGTTCAGTAGACATGGCTGCAGCTGGTCATATATATGATAATTTTATTTTCAATCTGCACCTTTAGTCACTTGCCAATACAAAATGCTCATCCTATAGAATGAAATGTTGCATGTAGCATTCTAAACTTTGACATCTTCCCATATCCATGCATTCATTCAGTCCATTCATTCATTCAGCCTATTAATTATTTACAGAGTGTTAGGCTCCTTTCTAAGCACATGGATGAGCAATTTAAGAAAGTAATGCCTCCAGTCTATCATAGCTGGGCATAATAGCATGACATCCAGAACCACATAAGAAAAGACTGTGCTCTTCTGAAAATGAGAGGGTGTTTTTCTCAAGTCTTGTTTTAATTAATGCAGACTTCCTCTTACAAGGATATGTCATTATACGCTGAGACAAACTTCAGAAAATTAGGATGCACTTGGGTCCCACATTAGGCCACAGAATTACTGAGCAACTTGTTAATGCCAATGTGGATTTGGAACCACAGATCATTGTTGTGTGAAAACCATTGGATGTAGCTGTGCAAATCAAGCCCCCTGACTCCTTTTGCTTTCACTTCTGTACTCAAATAGTGCTTTTTAATTCTGCACTTCTCCCCTATGAAAGTAAGCAGAGAATTCTGTTTAGAATCTCATTGACATCAGTTGCCTTGTCTCTACTTAACTCACAGTTCTCTTTATTCAGTTTTTTTTTTTTTTGTGATTTTAAAATTTACAAACTGTCTTATAGCTCCAGCAAGCGAACATGTTTATTCTTATTTTTTTTTTAATTTTTTTTTCAACGTTTATTTATTTTTGGGACAGAGAGAGACAGAGCATGAACGGGGGAGGGGCAGAGAGAGAGGGAGACACAGAATCGGAAACAGGCTCCAGGCTCTGAGCCATCAGCCCAGAGCCTGACGCGGGGCTCGAACTCACGGACCACGAGATCGTGACCTGGCTGAAGTCGGACGCTTAACCGACTGCGCCACCCAGGCGCCCCACATGTTTATTCTTATTATTCAAACACTAAATTAGATAAAATTTGACATGTCCTAAAGCCTTGCCTTGAAGTCATGGTACTCCTTTCAATTCTAAGAAACAGGATCCTTGGTATACTGTGTAGTCTCTGTCTACTTGATTCTTATTCTTTTTTCTTGTTCCACATATACTTATTCATGATGGACAAGTATTGCATTGTATGTTACTGACTAAATCCTCCATTTTCCCAACTGTTTTGATGATGGTATAGTGAAAGTGGTGATGGAGAAAATGAAGAAACTTCTATGGCCATGTAGCTGCTTAATAAATGTAGCAGAGTGATCATCGGTGCTATTGTAACATCTAGGAGTATGTTTGGTGGCATTTGAATAAGCTAGTAACCATGCATTGAAAATAGAAAAACATTAACAGTGGGACACAGAATTACTTGCCAGGGGAGATTGCCTTGGCCAGAGGTTCCTTTAAGGGATGGTTAGGTTTCCTTCTGGTGAGTCCCCACCCTGTAAAGATCCCAGGAATAGCTAGAGAACACAGCAGATTTTCCAACCCCCTCACAGAAACATAAAACAAGCGCAGTTAAAGAAAGTACACCACAAGTTGTGTCACCAGTGGTTGCCTCACCTTTCTTCCCACTCTTGATCTCCCTATACCTGCTCCGCCCCCATCAAGCTCCTGACTGCTTTCTTCATATCCTTATTCCTCAGTGTGTAGACCAGAGGGTTGAGTGTGGGTGCAAGAATCATGTAAAGCACTGCCAGTGCTTTGCTCTGGTCCTGGGAGTAGTTGTCCTTGGGCTGCAGATACAAAAACATAATGGTCCCATAGAAGAGTGAGACTACCATTAGGTGGGAGGCACAGGTCCTAAAGGCCTTTTTCCTTCCTTCTGCTGAGCGCATTTTTACTACTGCCCTGGCGATGCACACGTAAGTGGTCAGAATGATGGAGACAGGCATGCCTAGGATGATTAGCCGGGCAATAAACATTTTCGATTCTGTCGGGCCAGTATCAACGCAGGAGAGTTTAACAATGATCAATAGTTCACAGAAGAAATGGTCCACACGCCGGTTTCCACATAGAGGCAGCACCATGGCCATTGAGGACTGGAGAAAGGAGTTAGCAAAACCAGAGGACCAGGAAGCTGCTGCCAGGACGTGGCACAGCCTGGGGTGCATGATGGAGGTATAGTGTAGAGGCCAGCAAACTGCAACATAGCGATCAACTGCCATCACCGCAAGGAGCACACACTCTGTGGAGCCAAGTGCCAAGGCCACCCAGTACTGGACCATGCAGCCAGCATAGCTGATCTTTTTGTTACCTCCCCACATGTTCACCAGCATCTGGGGCACAATGCTGGTGGTGAAACAGAGGTCAAGCACAGAGAGGTTTCTGAGGAAGAAGTACATGGGTGTATGAAGTCCAGCATCCAGGATAGAAAGTAGGATTATGGCAACGTTGCCCACAAGAGTTATGGTGTAGAACATCAGGACAAAGAGAGAGAGGATCAGCTCTAACTCGGGCCGCTCAGAGAAGCCCACTAAGATGAAATCCCCACCTGTGCTCTCATTAGCTGTTTCCATCTCCTCTTCAGCCCTATCACTTCAGGAGATCCCACACCCTCTGTTGATTTAAGAATAATAAGTGGGTAATTAATACACATAATGGATTTAAAGGACAAGCATGGGTCCTTATATGTGACCTAAATTCTACATTTTTGATTTCTCTTGTCCTTTCCATCTATTTCCCCCTGCAACTGGATGAAAACTCCAGCAGATACATGACCTCCACAGTAATAAATGTATCACAACCAATTTCAGTTACAAACAGAATCTAAATCCACTAATTTGAAAACCCAATCCCATGAATACCAACAACTGAAAGCCTCACTTAGCATTCAGTCTTGTCCTCCACCAGCTATCACTCCTTCCAGGTAACCCCTTGTGCTTGAGGGATGGGCTGTGGGCAGCTTCTCTCTCTCCCCACCCTTTCTCTGCCAGCATGACAGTAGGGCCATAGGGTCTTCCTGTTTGGGCCATGCAAAGGGGGAAGAGAAGAGTTACAAAAAAGTTCTTACTCTTCCAATCTGAGCCTGGGAGGTGTTTAAAGAGCTGACTCTTCTCTCATGGGAAAAGTGGTGGGTTCTTATAAGCCTCTTTACTGGGACAATGGGCCTGTGGGTCCCCAGCCTGGACTGGTGCATCTCCCATGAAGCTTACATCACCTTCTGCAGCTTCTGGAGATCCAGCATTCTCTCCCAGCATCGTGCTACTTTTTCCCTTTGTCCCTCTGGTGGCTCTAATGGATTAGACTCAGGACAACCCTGCACTAACTCTCCCTTCACCACCACCCTCCTCCAACACACAGGAAAGTCTCTTCCATCATTTGTCTCAAAAACATTGCAGCAACCAAGACTTTCTTGAATCTACCACTGTAGAAGCTATTGGCACTTTTCTCATCCCCCAGAATTTCCTGGTTTTTCTGCCCCTGATTCACTCTGTGCACTCCCAACTAAAATATGCAATTAGTGAAATCTCCAAGTAGCTCTGTTGAAGTCTCCCATCTGCACACCTATTAATGTGATGGGGCAGGTACTTTAAAACACCCTTTCCTGTTGGAAGGGGATGGTTTCAGACTCAGACTACTGCTTATTTCAAATGAATATTTGCAAATTCTCTCCCCTCCTCTTTACTCTCCTGACCTGTTTAATTTTTCATGTGGATGAAACTATTCTGGATGAATACTCCAAGAATAATACAACCATTTAAAAAATCATTTTCTTATAAATACTACATATGATTGAATCTTTCCCATCCTCTATAACATTTGAGTCAAATATAAGGCAGAGAGATTCATTTTAAAATACTGGTCCTTATGTACTAGAGGCAGTGGGACACTCAGTTTTATGGGACAAAATTTTGTGGGACATCCACTTTTTGGGGGTAGCTTCTGTCCATACCTTTCAGGAAAGTCAAGTGATAATAAGGCAACAAATCTCAAATAAATGAGCAAGAGGGTAAATTAATTTAAGCACTTATCTTAAATAGTAGTTATAAATAAAGGTACCAAGAAAGAAATCAAAATTAGATAACAAATTCACTCCACTTGAATAGAAGTTGAAGGAAAAATCAAATAGGCAAAAGGTTATTTCCATACATGTCACGAATAATTTCCATGTTGATTCTTTCTGTGATTTCTCCAGTTGTCCCTCTTCTGTTAAATAGAAATACATCATAGGATTACCTTCGAGATAGATTGCCACTGACTTCAAGAAGCTTTGAGATATCCAGGTCTTTCAAATTTTATTTTCTCCTCTACTAATCACATTGTGTTCAGAAATACTTGTTCTTTTTTTTTTTTATTTTTTTTATTTTTTTTATTATTTTTTTTACCTATTTATTTATTTATTTATTTTTATATGAAATTTATTGTCAAATTGGTTTCCATACAACACCCAGTGCTCATCCCAAAAGGTGCCCTCCTCAACACCCATCACCCACCCTCTCCTCCC